GGCCCCCCAACCGCTCTGCACAGCACCGCAGGACGCGGCCACTGAAACAGGCCCCCCAACCGCTCTGCACAGCACCGCAGGACGCGGCCACTGATGTTGTCTGGGTCGGGTGCTGTGCTCACCTTGGTCCTTTTGAGGGCTCTCACCACCTCCGTGTCGAAGGAAAGTTCTGTTCCTGCGGGCATGAGGGAGGAGACCATGTCTTTGAGACGGGAGGTGTTGTCAGTCTTGAATGTAGAAAAGAAGGAGTTGAGGTTGTTGGGGAGGGCTGTTGGGCTGTAACCTGCCACCTGCACGGACCTGTGGATGGTTCACAGCGGCCATGTTCTTGATCCCCTGCCAAGCTGAGGCTTCCTTGTGTGAATTTCTCCTCCTCCTTGTTTTTGTACCTCAGCTTGGCATTCTTTATGGCACGCTTAATCTCCCTGTTTACCTCCTTCTTCTCAGATTCAGTGGCGGTGAAGAATGTCCTCTTCTTTTTATTTCGGATTTCTTTTAGTTCTTTAGTACTTCTTTAGGCTTCTTGTTTGGGAAGATGGTAATCTTCTTGGTGGGGAAGACACTGTCCACACAGAAGGTGACGTATGAGGACACTGTGTCCACCTGCTCGTTGATGTTGCTGGAGGTGGAAAGGAGGTTGTCCCAGTCTGTGGTTTCAAAACATCCTTGCAGAGTTGCAATGCTGTCACTGGTGCACTGCTGGATGTCTTCTCTGTCCTCTTTATGACCGGGGTGTAGACTGTTGCTAGTAGGATGATGTGGTGATCAGTAGAGCCGAGAGGGGGGAGGGCGATGGATCTGTACGCACCAGGAACTGATCCATAGCACTTATCCAGGGAATGATGACCATGTGACACTTCCATTGTTCAGCGGACCACTAATTTTCATAATGGTCTACACTTATTCTGATGGATTTTCCACACCATAGACATACATGCAGCCAATTGATTCAAAGTTGCTTTTCTGCTTTGACTTTTATACATGTGACTATGATGGTTAAGGAATGTATGCTCTGTCAATGATTGCCATGCCAACATTGCCGTAGCCACTATTATTTAATGAAATATCACAAAATTTAGCCATCTTTTTCACTGATGCTCCAGCCAAAGCTTCATCTACCAATGGCAGTCAAAATAATGGTTGACCTAACCAACCAAGAATCTGCCCTAAATGTAACAGGATGTTTTTAAAATGAAAAGTAGAAATGTAC